GTATTGACAAATTCAGACCAAATCCAACAGTATACCATGGCTCCGGGCTTTGGCCCTCATCAGTACAGGGGCGGCTTCGATTTTATAACATCCTACGAGAGAGGTTATCAAATCGGTCAAATTGTCATTAGTACATACACTGATGAGGACAAAGCCCGAACCATGGAATACAGGTTGGCTTTTTGTCTGAATTTTCCAAAACTGATATTGTGGCTTATTCTTGATCACTATACTATTGAATATCATTATTCTTTTACTCTTCATAGGAAAATAAGTGCCGTTGCCATTATTAAACATATTAAACAAAATTTTACAATGCACTAGCGCGCCATCTGTTATCAAATTACAAAACTATTCTAGACGCGTAATATTCTTTTTAAAATAAAACGATTTCTACTGCCCTTACTGCAATGGAAAAATTATATATTTATAATTATATGTAATTCTGCTGTCCTAAAAGCTTATGTCCATAGTTAATCTAAAATACCCATTCGAAGAGTCAAGCATCTCAGTATCACTATAAAAGGAAGTTCCGAAAATGCAATATAACAGCGATATGGTAGATTAAACTGGCAAAACCGCTGGGAGGGTTCACCACTGATGAGCCAGGCCCTCCCTTTAATTTTTCCATTGCAGTAAGGGCAGTAGAAATTGTTTTATTTTAAAAAGAATATTACGCGTCTAGAATAGTTTTGTAATTTGATATTAAACAAAATGTAAACGCGGGATTCAATCCCGGTTCATGGTTGTCGGGAATCGAGGGTGTTACCCACTCGTCCACTGCCGTTGCCATGTTAGTCACCTTAGTAACTGATCAGAATTTGGTTGAATATACTAAGGGTCCATGGGGGACCGCAGGGAGGTGTGGTCAAATCACGCAGAAAATACACTCGTTACTGAACTAACTGGAACTATTGGGTAAGAACTACATTCTACAATGGATTCCTGCCCATTTTTGGATCGAGGGTAATGAGATGGCGAATGAACTAGAAAAGGAAGCTAAGAAGTTGAGCCAAAGGAAAGAACAAATGTCAGTATTTGATGCTGATGCTTTGACAAAATCCAAGATAATTCAACAAAAGATAGGAGAGTTCAAATATGCGACATAAACGCTGAGAAAAGAATAACAAAAACAATCACAAGATTCAGAATGAAACATTATAAAGGAATGACAATACATCCAGGTGGCATAAGAGCCTACAGGACATGTAACAATTGTCATAGTGGTCCTGTAAATAACATTGTTGATTACTAATACTATTACTGTTATCGTTGTATGTACCCTACATTTCTGCTCGGAGAATCTGTATAAGACCAAAAGGTCTTATAATAAAGCTTTTTTTTTTGTTGTTATTTTAGAAAACTATGGACACAAGGTTTTTTTTAGGACTTTCGCAAATATAAAGAAAATGCCAGTTCGACATATATTATCCATGCCCTTCCTACTATTTTTCATTGCAGTAAGGACAGTAGAATTTTGTTTATTTGTATAATAAACTATCGTGCTCAGAGGGTTTGCTTTTTGTAGTATATATAGGACGTTGTTTTCTTTTGATTAAGACATTCTATTTACATATAATGGAATATCCATAAAATATATATATAATATTTCGATTGAATCCTGTCGACTCTCTATAATATTTCGATTGGATCCTGTCGACTCTCTGTCGGATCCTGTTGTCCCCTGTGTATAATCCTGTTGACTCCTGTCAACTTACTGTGGGATTGGTGAATCGTGGTGAATCCTATGTCGGATTATGTTGAATTGATTATTGATGGCACAGTCTTGGTCGAATGGTGGGTTTCCACAGGGGAAATAACGAGCACCTGGATGGGATAGAACCTAGACTTCGCGAAAGGGAGAGAGTGATTGAGACTGGAGGAGGTACCTTGCCTTTCACATGATCGAAAAGGACTTTACCTTGGTTGGAGCCTAATTTGAGCACACCTTGCTTCTAGCCCGGTCACCTACCTTCTCCCTAACTTCTTGTCCGAGATAATCGTCATTAACTATCTCGGCTTCTCATTGGTCGAGATCATTCTACGTGCCTGCTTCTGGTTCGCTATTAGTTGGTCATGCTTAACTGTGATTGGCTTAGCACCTCCATTGTCGCCATGATTGCAATCTTCCAGGAAGAAGAAGGTCTTTGAACTTTAGTTTTATGGGTCCTGGGCAGTGAGTGACCTTTACTTCCTGGATGATGCAATCCTGTTAATGGTTGTTCCCTTTTTCGCGAAGCTTAACTTTTATTAAATCTTTTGACGATACATTGCATAGATTGTGATGGGATTACATATTGCTATATACAAATTATAACATATACAATGTATTTCAAGAGAAAAATGCAAAGACGAGAAGTCTCTTTTATTGGAAGACTGTATCACGATCTTTCGAACCTCACAGCCTTTCTTCGACTGGTGTAAATTACAAAGAACACTGACAAAAAGTTGATCTTTTATACATATAGCAACAAACAACAAAAAGCTTTATTAAGATATTTGGTCTTATACAGATTCTCTGATTGTAAGAGGGTGTATACATCAATAAGAGTAATAGTAAATATAATTATTAGTGACGAGGGCCAACAGCCCGAAACGCGTACATGGTTAGCTTTTCTTGATTAATCAAGAATGGGTATTTGGCCTATTCTGGAATAATTAAAAAATCAGCGAATAGTTTATATTTATTCCGATAGATTAGGCAAGCCATCAGCAACTTTCATTTGCCCGATATGGAGATGCCTTTTTTCTTCCTTTATTTTTATAATTATCAAAGTTATTTACAATATATCAAATAAGGGGAAAGGACTAAAAAAGGGCTTGGCATAAACTTATATATAAGCAATCGAGAACAAGCAGTTACTTTTCTTTAAAAAACAATAATTAGTAGTATTGACAGAAATTTAGATCAGTACAAGTAAAAAATGACTATACAAAATGTATTACACCAATACCTCGCTTTGCGTCGTTTCGTTTTGCGTTTTTTTTCGAAGTTGCGTCGCTGCTTAATTTTTATTGATTTTCACTGTGCGTCGTTAGATTTTCGAAGTTGCGTTGTTTTGGATTCGAGTCTTTAATTTTTTTTTTTTTTCTAAAATATGGCAACACCTTTGTTTTTGATTGCGCCTTCACATATTTTCACTTTGCGTCGTGTTTTTTTGGAACGTAAGCCCGACGCAAAGCGAGGTATGGGTATATATATAATTAGCAGGCATCTTTATAGTTTTATACATGACTAGATCAAGGGTAGAGGGTTGTCTAAAGTCGGAATATAAAGTCTTAGGGATAAATAAATGTACATACATACAGACACACTGTGTCGTACTTAAACGTAATTTTGAGATGAGGTGATGACAGATACAATTATATTTATTCAAATTTATAATACATATTTAAAAATTCAAAACACATATATCTTCTTCTTTCTTATCTTCACTCATCATATTAGAATTTCAAGCCTGTGGAGTATTGGGTGAAGTAGAATGCGTCTGCTTGAGATTGGGAGCATTACTAAGTGGCAGGCTGACTTAGCTTCAATATGAAATGGCCGCCTCTGACATGAGGAATAAGACATATTTTAGTATACCTCTCCCTAAAGGACACTTTGGCTCTGCAATTAGGTGTCCTTTACAGGAAGGTTCTACTGTATATTATTTTCCTGAATAAAAAATTAGATAAATCTTGCAATTCATTTTGTTTAAACAAAAGAAAAAAGCTATGACTCTTCAGGAAATAAAAAGGTAACCCGTGCTACTATAAAAAGATACCTTCCATATTCAAAAGAGTCAGTGTACTCCGATCTATGTTTAGAGAGATATTTTGAAGGTAGCGCCTCCAAGGTGGGGAAAAAAACATTCAGGAAGAAGAACGTCCAGAAATAACTTGTTGTCGTTAGTTCTGTGAACATTTTAAATAACTACACGTGTGAGAGATTCCACATATCGAGCAGTCCTGAAATCTTTCATTTGAAGTTCTCTCAATTTTGAATTTTTATTGTCCACGCTAAATTGCCATGGTCAAAAACTGTTAAATGGATTATTCACAAATATAAATTTAGAAAAAAAGGTTAGAACATTCTCAACTCGTAGAATAACACGCTTTTAAAGCAGTAAAATATAATTTTCTCTCATTTTAAGGTAGTGTTCACACACAATTACGTATTAAATGAAAAAAAAAAAAAACACACGAAGGCCATCCAATAAATAAGTTTCTCTATTTTTTTTCTGCGAACGAAACGTTGTAAAAATTAGTTAGTAGTGTAAGAAATGGTCACTAGGATGCGTTGGAAGCGCGTGACCTTCAAAATCACGCTACTCGTACGCGCAAGTCCGTAGCGCTTCAGTTTCCATGGAGCTACCACTGGTGAACGTGTTCACTTGCGAACTCCGTTCTGCAATTCGTTTTTTCACGGCGAAAAATGAAACTGCGGTCAATATTCATTGCAATTTAGTGTCAGTGTATGGTGAAGGATGTATGAGCATCCAAATGGTTCGCCGATGGCGTTCATGGTTCTTGGAAGGACAGCAAAACGTGCATGATGACGAGCGAAGCGGCAGGCCCGTTACTGCTACGGACAATGCAGCCGTTGCTGCTATTCGGAATGTGGTGGAAGCAGATCGCCGCGTCACCATTGACGAAATAATTATTCCACTGCCTCCTGGAATCGAAATTGGACGCTCTTCGATTGGAACAATCATGTCAGATGTTTTGAATTTTCGCAAAGTCTGCGCAAGATGGGTCCCGCGTTTGCTCTCGGAAAATCACAAGCAACAACGGATGGAGGCAGCCCGAGCTTTCCTGGAAATGCATCGAAGAGATGGAGATCAACTGTTTTCCCGTATTGTCACTGGAGATGAAAGCTGGGTGCATCATTCAACTCTATCGGAATAAATATCAACTATTCGTTGATTTATAATTATTCCAGAATTGACCAAATACCCATTTTTGATTAATCAAGAAAAGCTAACAACGGACGCGTTTCGGGCTGTTGGCCCTCATCAGCGTGGTGCAAGCTGTCGGTGGAAGGGTGGTCTAAACTGTTGGTTTTTGACCACTACGACCCGGGTTCAATTCCCGCATTGGGCACTTTTTTTTCTGATAAAAAAAAAATTGCTCCAATGGCCCTTGATTCTTGCAAAGGTCCAACCCCCACCAGTGAGTGCAAGTAACCAAACGGGACTCTGGCACATTTGTAAGTGCAAAGTCTAACTGCTTTTCACATGTGTAGACATGTGGTGCACTTACATTAAAACCAGTCGTCAACTTCTACCCACCATGATTACCATGGCCTGTACGACGTGTACTAGGGATAAGCAAAAAAAAAAATGTATTTGTCTATATTCGCAGTAATAGGTCTGTCTATAAGTAATTTTTGATCATTTATATGCAAAATAACATTGAAAGGAGTCGAAAATATATAGAATTTATTTGATAATTTCGTTACCTAGCGATTACTTGCTAAATCAAACAATGGCACATTTTTCTTTTAAACTAAATGTCTATGAGCATTCCTTTCTTTGTCTGATTCTGAAATCAAGTTCTGTATGCGGTAGTATAAAGTCATTCTAACTTATCCCATCGAACAAGAGAAGGAAAATTTTTATGGTAAGTTAACCGTTTAGAACCGTTTTTTTTTTTAAATAATGGACGAATTTATAGAATTATTGAACTGAATACGTAAAAGAATTAGGAAGGCTTGACTCATCAAAGGTGAACCTTCCTAACGATTTCGCCAATTCAATTTAACAGATCTATACTCAACTACTGTATAATACAAATGAAAACACCAAAACGCGAATGTTTCTTTTGACAAATAAATCAATTTTCTACTGTCCTTACTGCGATAAAAAATATTGGGAGGGCTTGGCTCATCAGTGGTGAACCCTCCCAGCGGTGTCACCAATTTAATCTACCAGACCGCTTCTTAGAGCTCTAATACTGTATTGGATCATTCGGCTTATATATTCAACACTGAAGGCTGGAACTTTAGAAATTATATTTAAGCAAACTATGGACACAAGCTTTTAGGACAGTAGAATTATATTTAAATATTTGCATCGAGCAATGCTCTTCCGCAAACAATAAGTACAAGGCCAGTTAGGCATAAATTAATACATAGCAATAACACACCATCTATATAATACAAATGAAAACACCAAAACGCGAATGTTTCTTTTCACAAATAAATCAAAATACTATTGTATGTTGATTCTACTTATATAGTCTTCACTTTCCATTTTTCAAATGAGTTGAATAAATTATATATCAATAAAAAATTTAGATTTAATCTTTCTCAAACTAATGCAACGTTCAATAATTTTTTTCTGAGAGATGTACCAAGCTTCATTACTCCTGATAAATACACTACTTTGTTCTTCACAGACAAAGGACCCTTTTTAAGTTTTCTCTTTGACTTGAGAGTTATAAATGATTCCACATGTGAATGCTATCTAGATGTTGAAACACCAGTTGTTGGCTTGCCCTCTGACTAACCAAATTGTACTTGCTTACTTTGACATAATGCCATCTTTCTGTATATACTGATTCTTATGAAAAATTTAGCAAGTTTAGAGCTATTTGTACACAAATTTATAAATCACTACTAATTCATCGTGTAAATAATTAAAGATATATGTCATAATATATGCTCTTCCAGGAATAATAAAGCAAACCTACAGTCAACCCAGAGAGAGAAGGCGGGTAAGGATCGGTCACTTTAGACATCAGCGACATTCCAAGAGGCGACCACAGGGGCCGTTACTTGGAACCTCAGGACCATTAAAAAACAGTTGAGGATTGTGTGCGATACGAACGGCCGGCCGCTCAGCGGCGGGCAGGCCGCCTGTCCTCCCATCTCTCTCTCTGGTTGTCTAGGATTCCTCTACCAAACTTGTGTGTGTCCTTATTTCTCTTTCCCCACCTTATTATTATATTGTCACATATATATATATATACACTGCGTGACATTGAAAATGGAACACCAATAAATAGTGGCCATAAAATTATGCAAATTTCAGGGTAGACGCGCCTAACCGAGTTATGCAAATGATGTAAAATGCGCAGCTCTCGTGCGCACATGGAGTAAGATATAAGGGAAGGAACTTGCAGAAAGGACAGTATTCGTGTCGTTATTTCTTCAAGGAAAATCATTGTATAAATTTTGTTCTTGTGTCAAAAGACACGTGTAATAACAGAGAATGCCAGCTCATCGTAAACGGAGGCAGTTCAAGCAGACAGACGCTTTTACGAGGGGCATGGTGATCGGACTGAAAAGGGCAGGTTGGTCCATACGTCAAATCGCAGCTGATACACACCTTGGTGCGTCCACGGTGCACCGACTGTGGAGAAGATGGTTGGAACAAGGAAATGTGGCAATTTATAGGAATGTCGGTGCAACCAGAGTGACGTCAGCACGTGTGGATCGGCGTATCCTTCGACAAGCAGTGGCGGCCCCACAAGCCACTTGTACCGCCATCCTGCAACATGTGCAAGACACCCTAGATCATTCCATCTCGACCAGAACCATTTCCCGTCGATTGGTTGCTAATGGCTTGCACTCATGCCGTCCGCTAAGAAAACTGCCATTGACCCCACCGAATAGGCGCCAACGTTTGGAATGGTGCCGGGCTAGATCGACGTGGATGACGGAATGGCACAGGGTCGTGTTCTCAGATGAGTCGCGTTTCTGCTTGTCCAGTGATAGTCGCCGTGTACGCGTGTGGCGTCGACGTGGAGAAAGGTCCAATCCGGCAGCAATTGTGGAACGCCCCACCGTGCGACAACGTGGAATCATGGTTTGGGGCGCAATCGCGTATGATTCCAGGTCACCTTTACTTCGTATTCAGAGACCTATGACGGCCCAACGATACGTTGATGATGTGCTGCGACCGGTGACACTCCCCTACCTTCAGGGGGTACCCAATGCCCTTTATCAGCAGGATAACGCCCGACCGCACACTGCTCGCATTAGCCAACAAGCTCTGCAAGATGTACAGATGCTTCCCTGGCCACCGTACTCTCCTGATCTCTCACCAATCGAGCACGTCTGGGACATCATTGGACGCCGTTTGCATGCCTTGCCACAGCCGCGTTCAGAAGACGAACTGTGGCAAATGGTTGAGAGGGAATGGAGAGCCATCCCTCAGGACGCCATCCGTGTTCTGATTGACTCTCTACCTAGACGTGTTGCTGCGTGCATCGCCGTCCGCGGTGGTCCTACTTGCTACTAAGCCGACGCCGTTCTCGCTCTGTATTATGACTATCATTTTGAAATAAAGATCACTTATTGTTCGTCCCTGTCTCTCTCTGTCTGCCGAGTTTCATCACTTTCTGGCCACTATTTCTTGGTGTTCCATTTTCAATGTCACGCAGTGTATATATGTAAATAATTCTAATATAGCACAATAGTCTGATAGACTTCGTGCTTCTGTAATAATAAAATTTAAAAAATAGTTTTTATTAAACACCATTACTGAGAATAAATCTTCAAGTACAAACTATATAAACAATACAATAGTTGTAATAGTGATCTGGTGGAATAAATTTGTGAAATCGCTGGAAAGATTCAACACCGATGAGCCAAGTCTTCCAAATTCTCTTTTTCATATTGAATGGAATAATTCTATAAATTCGTCCATTATTTTAAAAAGAACCTTGTTGCCATGTGTAACGGCAGCTGGCATGCTTATAGAGTAAATTATCAGTGAGCACATTACTGATGGTACTCTGTGCAGTTGCCTTTTGACTGATTGTAATATATATCCACATGTTATGTCTGATAATTAATATATTATATCCGATGTTAGCCTAAAAGAAATAAAGACTTTCTTTTTAAAACTCCAAGTACTTCTTGCTGATTAACGTCAACCAACAAATACGAGGACGTTACACCATGCATTATATTGTCACGGTATAGAAGACAAAGTATTCCAAAAACTTAATTAAAAATAATTATTAATTAAACTTATATATTGCAAAATGTGTCAATTGATTTTACAAGTGGTAATTTACAAGCATGGTAAAGGGTGATGACTATGCAAATATTTATGATGATAAACAACAGAGTATTCAAAAATAATTATTCAGTGACAATTTGCCACGTGGAAAATTAGGAAAGACAAACTCCAGGATGGTACAGCAATTTATTTAAGGCAAGAACAAACTATGAATGGTGAACAAAAGATAAGCAATGTGGGAAGTTTAAAGAGCAGCAAAATATAAACATAAAAAAAATAATACTCTGTTAATAAAATATAAAAAATACTTCGCTACAATATTATTCTATTCAAAAGACCTTCTCAACAGTTAGCTGCCATGAAATTTCTAATCTCTTATTTGATGGGAAGCGTTAGAATATATATGTGACTTAATACTATTGCATACAGAACTTTCTTTTAGAATCAGACGAAAAAAAAAAGGAATGCTCATAGACATTTTAGTTTAAAAGAAAAATGTGTTATTATTTTATTTTGCATGTAATCGCTAGATTCAGAAATTATCAAATAAATTCTATATATTTTGTTCCCTACCAATTTTTTTTTTTGCATGTAAATCATCAAAAATTACTTTCGTAGAGACCTCTTACTGCGATTATAGAAAAATAATATACACTATACAGAAGTTTTTTCAAAAATCGCTTGAAATCGCTTGAAAACTTGCAATTTAAAATTGAAAAAAAAAAAACTCATTGTGCGAAAATATTTGTATTTTTAAGAGTTTTATTATCTTTCAAACACAGGAATTATAATTTTAAAAAATTACTTACCTTTCAGTATTTCAGTGGGGTTGAGAGATGTAAACATCAAGTAAGCTGTTGTTGAACTTCTGGTGAGCTAGATTTATTGTTGGATGGCAAAAAGGAGGAGTATAAACAGGTATACTGACAAGATTCACTCTCTATAAATTCACAGAACTGAGCCGCTGTGATGGAGTTGATCACTATCCTGCACACCTCTTCAGCTTCAGTCTTCACTCCTTATAAATATTTTGGAGTAAAGTACCTAGTATCTCTGTCCATTGTAGAGAGGTGCTTTAAGAATAAATTGAAAACTAAATTATTCTCTACTATTCTTTTAAAAAAGTGTTTG